AAGTCTTTAATCCATTTTGAATTTGTTCTTGTATATGGTGTAAGTAGGTGGTCCATTTTCATTTTTTTGCATGTGTCAATCCGATTTTCCCAGCACCATTTATTAAATAGACTATCTTTACTCCAATGTAAATTCTTTTTTTAATTATGTATTTACCTTCCTTTTTTTTTTTATTGTTAGTTTCAGGTATACAGAACAATGCAATAGTTATCCTTTTCACCCTCCCAAAGTAACAACCCCCCTCCCCCCATCTACTGCCCTCCCACCCCTGATATCATGCTTATCTGTTACAATTCTATTGACTCCATTCCCACTCTCTACTCCATGTCCCGTGACTATATGTATATATAATTATAGTTGACATGCAATATTATTCAACATCAGCTTCAGAAATACAGTGTGGTGGTCAGGCCTCTACACCAACTATGAAGTGGTCTCCCTAACAAGACGTGAGTCCATCTGGCCCCCTAAGAAATATTTACAACATTATTGATTATATTCCCCAGACTGTCTTTTCTATCCCTGAGACCATATTGTAGTTACCTATTTGTATTGTCTAAAGCAGTTATTCTTGATATCATACATTTCTTTAGTTCAGTTATAAAAGGAAAATTCCATTAAAGTAAATTCCATTGTAAAGAAGGATTTGGTGTAACATGTTTTAAAGAAGAAAATGCTATGTTGATTCTCTTATAATTCTGTATTACAAATAATCCTGCACACCAGTTTCTTTCTATGGACTGGCCACATGACAGCCATTCCAAACCAGAGGTATTAAAATACATGTGTTTGGTGCCTGCTAGTTGTAAAGGAGAGCTGTCTGTGGTTTTTATCCTGGTTAGCCTCAAAGTCTTATATCCTCCTTCCCAACTTGACCTGCTGCCACTGTCTTTGCTTCTGTCACCCTCCAGGGGGCAGCAGCCAGGAAGGGTGGCATCTGTTCTTCAAGGTGTCCAGCTCTCCTTCCTCCTTCACAGTTAACTATAGTGAAATTCTTTTTATTGGTAGCCTGAAAATGTTACTTCTGGCAATGTATTTATTAATTTAAAACATTTTCAAACTCGTAGAAGAATTGAGAGTACAGTGAACACAGTATACCCTGATAATAAGAATCACCAACTATTAACATCTCCCTGTCTGTCTCTGTCTCTGCCTCCCTCCCTTCCTTTCTCTCTTTTTTGTCAAACCCTCTGACACTTCACCAACATAAACAAACACTTTATTTCTAGACCCTTTGGGGCACTTCTAAAAAAGGGGGGTGTTCTCACCCCACAGCCATGATACCATTAGCACACCTGAGATAATCAGCATTGATTCAGCGACATCCCAGTTGCCCTCCCCAAAATTTCTTTACAGCAATTTTTGTTTCCAGTGCATGATTTCATCAAGTTTTATGTACTGTACTCAGTCTAGAAGCAGTCCTCCTTCCCTTCCTGTCTTCTTCTTGACATTGGAATACTTTGCAGAGTACCAGTGAGTTGTTTTGCAGAATAGTTGCATGCTGAATTCTTCGGACTGCTTCCGCATGACTAGGTTTAGGTCATACCTTTCCCGCACAAACCCCACAAATTCTTGGAAACCATATATGTGGATCTTCTGTTTCCCAGCAGCCTTTTCCCCTGGTGGTTTACACCTTGATAACCCTTGCTTCTTTAGTTACAGTATTGGGCTTCACAAAATGGTGATTTTTCTAAATTATTTTTCCTTTTACATTTATTAGCTGGCACTCTTCTATGAAGAAGAGTTTTCCCTTTTTCTCTTTCTCTTCCTCTGTCTCCCACCTTTGTTTTTAAAACATTACTGTGGACTCATGCATTTTCTTTTTAATGTGCTGTCCATTATCTTTTTTTTTTTTTTTTTAATACTCATATTGTCCCAGTTTGGGCAGCTAGAGCACTATGTGCATGTGTATGAATTTGTAACATTTCATTTTGATGGAATTTTCAACTTGCAGAAACATTTTAAGAAAATTATAAGGCAGTGGTTCTCAAACATTCTAGCCCCAAGACCCTGGGTCCTTCAGTCTCTTAAAAATTATCAAAGACCCTAAGCACGTTTTGTTTGTGTGGGTTTTATCTATCAATATTTACTATGTAGAAATTAAAACTGAAACTTTTAAAAAGTATTAATTTTAAAACAACAATAATAAACCTACTACATGTTAGCATAAATTAGATATTTGTCATTAAAAATATTTGTCATTTATTTTGGGGGGGTTTTAAGATTTTTATTGGGGAATTAGGGGGATGGGAACAGTGCTGGGGAATTGGGGGAAGGGGAACAGACAAGTTGCTGTCTTTTGTTCTTCACTCTAGTTGTGGAGGACGTTGCTTCACTGGCCCAAGCTGGTACCATCATTGTGCTCTTCCCGGGCGAGGCAGATCAGTCGCCGGCTTCTGGACGGCCGCTCACTGCGGCTGCTGGCCGCTCACTCTGGCTGCTGGATACATACGGTAGCCCATGGCAACCCACTGCCACAGGGGCTGCAGCCTACGCCGTCGCCAGCGACTCAACGGCAGCCCAGCTCCAGGTTGAGCTGTTGTTCAGCATCTTAGCTGTAGAGGGTAGTGTCACTGGCCCTCATAGGTGGGATCTGAACCGGGGTCCTCTGGCATCCCAAGCGAGTTCTTAACCATCGCGCCACTCGGCCGGCCCAAAATATTTGTCATTTATTTTTCCACAATAAAAACATTTGAGTGAAAAGAGTGTCTGACTTAATAGAATACTGCTGGATTCTCATCCGATTCTCCATTCAGGCTGTCAAGTATGTTGTTTTGGTGTAAGTTAATAGAGAAAAGCCTTCACACAGATACATAGTTGGGGAAAGGGAGTATGTTAGTAGCCTTTTCAGCTACTTGTTGCAATTCTTCTTTGATGCTACACCACAATTCAACAAATGATAAGTTAAATTGCATCGTGGAATTTGAAACCATGCCAGTGAACTTTTTGTACTGTTTTATTAAAATCCATTGATCTCGCTTACACTTATACCCATGCATGGCTTCGTAATGTCAAGCATTTGGAAAATACTGGTTCACTTTATTATGCAGGTTTTCTGAATATGGTTACATTTCATGTATAATATCACATGTATGTCATGTATAACATATCATGTATAATATCACATAGCCTCTGGAAAAATCTCCTCTCAGGGATTTGACTTGTGAGAGATGGGTGAAAATAAAACAACATCATAGTAGTAGTATAAAAGTAGTGCCACCTCTCAGATCCTGAGAGAGAAGCCACATGCGCCTCTGGCCCACCCTTGGATTGCTGCTGGATAAAATTTGTGCATACCCTTCACTCCAGATTCGACTCAGCAATTCTTTATCCTTTGTCCTGCTTGCTTTTTCATTCTGTGTGTGTGTGTGTGTGTGTGTGTTTTCTGAGCCATTTGAGAATAACTTATAGTTGTACTCCTTTACCATTTACATTTCAGTTATTATTTCCTTAGAACAGTGGTCCTAGTGTTTCCCAACAACGCTTGGCAGTATTTAGAGACAGTTTTGGTTTTCACAGCTGATAGGGGACTGCTACTGACATCAAGTGGTTAGAGGTCAGAGATACTGCTTAACATCCTTCAGTGCACAGAAGAGCCCCATAACAAAGACTTACCAGCCCAAAATGTCAGTAGTGCCAAGGGTGAGAAACCCTGCCTTACAAGAAGAATGTTCTCTAATATGACCATAGTACACTAATCAAAAGCAGGAAATTTAACTCTAGTCTAATAGCTAATGCACAATTTCTATTAAAATTTATGATATTTTTCCTGTAATAATATTGATACCTTTTCTCACCACCTCCCACCCCAATCCAGGCTCACATATTGCATTGTTTCTTTAGTCTCCTTTAATCTGAAATAGTTCCTCAGCCTTTATTGATCTTGACATTTTCAAAGGATTGCAAGTCAGCTATTTTGTAGAATGCACCTCAGTTTTGTGGTATGCATTTTGGGCATGAATACCACAGGAACAATGTTCTCAGTGCATTATTTTGGAGCACATCTGATTTATGTCGATATCAGTGGAGTACATGTTGGTCTTTTGGTTAAGATGGTGTCTTCTAAGTCTCCACCATAATTATGGTTAATTATAGTAATAATTATTATATTAATAACTCAGGAATTTGTGGGGAAATACTTCAAGACTATGTAAGTTATTTTCTTCAAACTTTTACCCACTAGTATTACCATCCATTGATGATTTCACAACTCTTTCATTCTGTCTATATTTTAGTTCTCTCTGTTTATTCATGGTTATTTTATTCAGTGGCTTATAATCCTTATCTACCATTCTGTATCTTGATGCTTATATTGTCCCAGATTTTCCAGTGGGAGCCACTTTTGATGTGTCTCCACTGTACTTCCTTGCTTTTAGGCACCTATGCCCCAGGTTTACGTTACAATATTTCCCTGTCCCAGACTTGGAACAGCTATTTCTCCAGGGAGCCCTGAGACCTTTTAGTTATTTATTTTTTGTGTTTTTAAAATGCTCTTCTTTATTTCGTTATGGCGCAAAACAGAATTTATTTTGGATTACAAGAATTTTAGAATTATTTTGAAATTCAACCCCATTTTATCATGGCTGTAGATCTGATCATTAATTCTTTATTTGATTTTCAAAAAAATGTTCCTGTGTTTTTCTAAACCTTAATATTTAACTGATTTTATTTTTCTCTAGCTGTTCTCCACATTTCTTCTTCCATTTATTACTACACCTAGCATTTTCCATAAAATTCAGCTTACACCCTTTGGAGAAACATTTTTTTTACACTGTTGTATGATTTAGACAGATAATTCCTCCATGTCTTTTCATAGAATTTCTTTAAAAGAAAAATTGCACCTGAAAAATGAATAGAAAAAGAAGACAAGAAAGGGCCGGCCGAGTGGCGCGATGGTTAAGAACTCGCTTGGGATGCCAGAGGGCCCCGGTTCGGATCCCACATATGAGGGCCAGTGACGCTGCCCTCTACAGCTAAGATGCTGAACAACAGCTCAACCTGGAGCTGGGCTGCCATGAGTCGCCGGCGACGGCGTAGGCTGCACTCCCTGTGGCAGTGGGTTGCCATGGGCTACCGTATGTAGCCAGCAGCCAGCGTGAGCGGCCAGCAGCCGCAGTGAGCGGCCATCCAGAAGCCGGCGACTGATCTGCCTCGCCAGAGAAGAGCGCAATGATGGTGCCAACTTGGGCCAGTGAAGCAACGTCCTCCACAACTAGATTGAAGAACAAAACGACAGCAACTTGTCTGTTCCCCTTCCCCCAATTCCCCAGCACTGTTCCCATCCCCCCAATTCCCCAATAAAAATAAAAAATCTTTAAAAAAAAAAAAGAAAGAAGAAGACAAGAAATACAGATTGGTAAAATATGATGGAACCAGCACATACCTTTTTTTTTTTGCAGAGATCAAGGGATTTTAGCTTGACTTTTTTGAAAATGATTTGCAAACTATATAAAGATATTCTGGAAGTGTAACAGTGCCTCTTCTTTTGAGTTGGTTTCCAGGTTTCCAAAATGAGTGAGTCGGCCACAAATGTTCTACAGCAGTGGGTGTTACTGCTTTTTCCTTTTTCCAGCTTCAGCTTATAAGGATTTTTTTTTTTTAAGGATTTTATTGGGGAATTGGGGGAGGGGAACAGACAAGCTACTATCCTTTTGCTTGTCAGTCCAGTCGCGGAGAACGTCGCTTCACTGGCCCATGTTGGCATTATCATTGCGCTCTTTCTGGGTGAGGCAGTCAGTCGCAGGCCATTGGACGGCACTCATGGCTGCTCATGTTGGCTACTGGCCACTCATGGAAGTCCACTGCTGCCCCGCTGCAGCCCACGCTGTCGCTGGCGACTCACAGCAGCCCAGCTCCAGGTTGAGCTGTCCCAGGTTCACTATCCCAGCCGTAGGGGGCGCAGCGTAACTGGCCCTGTTGTGGGATCCGAACCAGGGCCCCGCTGCTCAGAGCTGGCCAACTCTTAACCAGCATGCCACTTGGCCAGCCCCAGCTTATAATGATTTTAATTCTTTTCCTCAGTCATTTGAAAAAAAGAATGAAGTATACATTGGGAATTCTAATTTAATAATAAGTTAATCAACTTTGAAGATAGAAATAAAATCAAGTAATCTTGGTTGTTCAGCATCTTCTAAGAAAGCCAAGTTATTGGTTTCTCCATGCTCTTTTTTTATTGTTATTTCTGAATTCTAGAGCCAAAGGAGAAACTAAAACTGTCAGCCATGTGCCTGTCATGTAGGAAGATCTCATGTGTCATGTCACACCAGATAGCATTCTTAATTTTTTCTCCCTTTCTACTGCAGGGCTATACCAAGTCCATTGATATTTGGTCTGTAGGCTGCATTCTGGCAGAGATGCTCTCCAATAGGCCCATCTTCCCTGGGAAGCATTATCTCGACCAACTGAACCACATTCTGGGTAAGGGTCCTGGACACATTAGGGGCTTGATTTCCTCAGTTTACCTGCCCACTGTTTACATCAGAGTCACTTCATTAAATTAAGAGTTCTCACAACTCTTTAACCTATAACAGACATGAATTTCTAATCTTCCTTGATATAAAATGTTAAGAACCCTTGTAAAAACTTGTTAAGAAAAGTAAGCATTGGGAGGTGGTGTGAGAAGACATTAATTATCAGGGTTGGTTCTGCCCTATAGCTGATGGTGTGTGGTCAGTTTACATTGGTCTTGATAATTAACAGATTATTTTATCTGATAGGTATTCTTGGATCCCCATCACAGGAAGACCTGAATTGCATAATCAATTTAAAAGCTAGAAACTATTTGCTTTCTCTTCCACACAAAAATAAGGTGCCATGGAACAGGCTGTTCCCAAATGCTGACTCCAAAGGTAAATATTATTTTGTTGATTACTTTTCTTAGGCTTAGCTTTTTGTTTGTTTTATTTGTTAAATCGTTAGGTCACTAACCTGAAAAGTTAGCCTATAGCTATTGGGTAATGCCTATTTAGTGCTCACTCTTTATTGCTTTCTTCCCTTTTTATTTGGGAGCGGTGATAGTAGGGTAAGGGAATCTGGGATTACCTGTCTAGTTTTCTGCCTTTTAGTTTCTTTGCTACTTTTTAACTGGGATTAAGTTCACATTTTTGGAGTTCAGAAAGTCTAGGATTCTGCAAAACAAATTACACCTTTTTTTATCTTGTTTGATCATTTTTAGTGCGGTTTATTGAAGAATACTGTATAGAAGGTAAAATTCACCCTTTTTAGTTGTATAAGTCTTTGAATTTTGACAAATGTATAGACAGTCATGTACCACCACATTCAAGATAATGGAACATTTCCATTAACCTCAAAAGTTGTCTTTTGCTCCTTTGTACTCAGTTCCCTCCCCTAGTCACTGGCAATCTCTGATCTGACTTCTATCCCTATAGTTTTGCCATTTCCAGAATGTCATATAAATATAATTATGCAGTATGTAGACTTTTATGTCTGGGTTCCTCCACTTGAGATTTATCCTTGTTGTTGCCTGTATCAGTCTCTTCAACAAATGGTGTAGGAATAATTAGACAGCCATATGCAAAAAAAGAAAAAGGGAGCAAAGACCTAAATATAAGACCTAAAACTTAAACTTTGAGAAGAAAACAGGACAGAATCTTCATGAACTTAGGTTAGGTGAAAATTTCTTAGGACACCAAGAGCACAATTCATAAAAGAAAAAGGTGATACATTAGATTTTATTCTTTGATTTTTTTAAAGTTAACTTTGTTTAATAATTGTATTATCATTTATTCCTATTTAACATGTGTCTGTTAAATGTATTAAACAACTTTGTTTTTTTTTAACTTTATGCTATTATTTAAAGCTGTGGTAGGCAGAATAATGACCCTGCCCCCCAAAGATGTCCAGGTCCTAATCCTCAGATTTTTTTTTTTTTTTAGCTGAGCCATCCTGCCACCTGTTGGCAGCTCAGTGGCAGCTCAGCTCAGGCTGGGCATCGAACCGCTGTTGCTCAGAGCTCAAACTCTTGAGCGAGCTCTTAACCAACTGAGCCACTCGGCCGTCCCCCCAGATTCTAAATATTTTAGATTACCTGGCTAAGGGGAGTTAAGATTGCTTAAAGTCAGCTGACTTTCAGATAGGGAGATTATTCTGGATTATCTAGGTGGGCTCAGTGTCCTTACCAGGGTCCTTGAAAGTGGAAGAGGGATTCAGAATAAAGAACCAGAGAGAGAGTTAGTGGCTTGCCAGCACCTTGGTACTTGTCCTTCCATATTTTTCTCTATCTTGATACATAGTCATATTTTTACCTAAATTTTAAGTTTTAAAAATAATTATTATAAAAGTTAACATTTTTGTAAATTCAACAATTATCGAAATATTTTACTAAGAAGGTAAAACCCTTTTCATAATGATTCCCTGAAGATCACTGTTAATAGAATTGTTTTGAGTATTTTTCCATGTAAGTACATACTTCTGGTTTATCTTTATTGAGTTTGTAATAAATAACTTCATTCAACCTTCTCTTGAAAGTTTAGCTTTTTCTAATTTTTGCATCTGTGTGTGTGTGTGTGTGTGTGTGTGTTTAACTTTAATAGCAGTCTACTTCAGTGTTGAATTTCTTTCATGTATTAACCTGAGTCAAGGTTTAGGAACACTTGGTGGTTTAAAATTGAATTTCTTTTGGATATAGGAGTAATTATCTTTTAAAATCTGATATAAAGGTGGTATATTATCATGGTAGACAGTTTGGAAGAAAGAATAGGTAAGAGAATAAGAAATACTCTTAATTACCAGCATCCCAAGATAACCTTTAACATTTTGCTGTACCAATGAGTACAGAACTTCTACCTATTTAGTTATAATTATGTGATGTATTCTAATTGTAGGATTTTTAAAATTTAGAACTTCACATGCATTGTACATGTAACTGGTTAGATTGGCTTGTATGCAGTCATGCACCAGTTAATGACAGGGATACATTCTGAGAAATGCGTTGTTAGGCAATTTCATTATTGTGCGAACATCATAGAGTGTGTACTTACAAACCTAGATGGTATAGCCCACTACACACCTAGGCTATATAGTAGGTAACCACCATCATATATCTAGTCTGTCGTGAGACATCATTATTCAGTGCATGACTGTATTATATTGTCCCAAGCATGTTACCTAAATCTTGAGTTGCCTTTTTTTTGTTTTTGTTTTTTAAAGATTTTATTGGGGAATTGGGGGAGAGAAACAGCGCTGGGGAATCTGGGGAAGGGGAACAGACAAGTTGCTCTCCTTTTTTTCTTCAGTCTAGTTGTGCAGGACGTTGCTTCACTGGCCCAAGTTGGCACCATCATTGTGCTCTTCCAGGACAAGGCACATCAGTCGCCAGCTTCTGGACTGCCGCTCACTGCGGCTGCTGGCTGCTGGCTACATAGGTAGCCCATGGCAACCCACTGCAGCAGGGGCTGCAGCCTACACCGTCGCCGCCTACGCCGTCGCCGGCGACTCACAGCAACTCAGCTCCAGGTTGAGCTGTTCATCAGCATCTTAGCTGTGGAGGGCAGTGTCACTGGCCTTCATATGTGGGATCCGAACCGAGGCCCTCTGGCATCCCAAGCCAGTTCTTAACCATCGCGCCACTCGGCCGGCCCTTGAGTTGCCTTTTTAAAGAGATATATATATAACAAAACTACATAATTAAGACTTTACAGTAAACAAACCTCTCAGGCTTCTCCCCTGTTTGTATCCTTAATCTTTTCCATAGCTAGTCATAGGTTTTGTTATCAGATTATTTGTAAGTCTTTTTTTAGCTTATTTTCCTTATGTTAGGATTATGAACTTTCAAATTGGTCTAGTCAGATAATAATTAACACCACTAAAATCCAGAAAGTAAATTTTAAAATGTAGGTTTTAGATGAATATAATAAAGAAGCAGGGAAGGAGTATAAATAGAGTAAAGTGGAAAAATGGAGTTGGCGGTGCTAGTGAGTGCTACAGCATCATGTGATAAAAGTATAGGCTTTGCAGCCAGACCTCTCCTGGGTTCAGTCCACAGCTCAGACATACTAATTGTATCAACTTTGGACACACCACTTAACCTCTCTGGGCCTTAGTTTTCCCATTCATAAAGTAGCGTTAGTAATAATACCTGCATCACAGGGTTGTGTGAATGTCCGGGCCACTGACATTTGTAGGTCTAGATTCTGAGCTCTCAAGACTGAAACTTTTTTATTTATGTGTCTTGAACATCTTTCCAAATCTCACTACATAATGTTCCCTGGTAAGGATGACCCACATTATCTTTAGTCTCATATTGGACATTGATATTCACATCAGTTATCTATTGCTGCATAACAAACCACTCCACAACTCGGGGCCCTAAGACAACCACCACAGATTTGTTCATAAGACCATTGGGCTGGGCGCAGCTGGATGGGTCTGCTCTGCTCACCTCAAGTTGTGGCCTCACAACAGCTTATAGTTGGTTCTCCATACTGTTGCCTCTCGTCCTACAGTAGACAAGACTGGGCTTCTCATGATGGTGGAAATATTCCAAAGGAGCCAGAGCAGAAGGTACAAGGTCTCCCAAGGCCAGATCCCAGAACTTCTGCCAGAATCTGTTGGTCAGAGCAAATCACGAGTCAGCCCAGAATCAAGAGGTGGAGAAATAAATCCACCCATCAATAGGAGGAGCTGTAAAGAATTTAATCTGTCACCAGGTTGTTGGTAGTTTTTAACTGTAACATACATAAATTCATTCATTTAATAAATAGTTCTCAGTGTCTGTTCCATGCCATCAAGGGGGTTGTAAGGCCTTGGACATAAAAAGCGGTAAGAAAAATTAAGAGCCTGCCTATAAACAGCTAATACTCTAGATTTATATGAAAATGACGTAACGAAATGAATGGAAGAACTCTGGAACTCAGGAGATAAAAACTTGCAAGCTGAAACATTAGTGCTTTGACATCTGGTTAATGATAGTTCACAGAAAATGCAATGTAAACATGTCTCTTAGATATAGGGAAAGGTACTCATTTTTATTCATTGTATGAGATGTGAACATTGAAAAGTAAGTAATTCCATTTATTTTCCCGCTCATCACAGTAGCAAGCATCAAAAAGTTTGAAACCCACTGTGATCAAGGCTGTGGGGAAACAGATGTTCTCAAAGACGGCTGGTAGAGTGTAAATTGGTTGAGTCTCTCTGGAGGACAGCTTAGCGATTCTATCACATGTCTTTTGTTCCAGCAATTCTGGGTATTGAACTTTTGAATCTGCTAACCAAATAGGGGAGAAGTGACATTTTAATTGTTTTTCTTTTATTAAAAATGAGGTTGAATATTTTTGTAAATGTTTGTTGGAAATTTCTGATTGCTGAGTCCCTTGAACCAGCAGTATTGTAGATTTTTCTTCATAGGAATCTTAAGAAGCTTAAGATTCTCTCCAAAATTATTCCAGTGAGGGGGAAGAAATGATTATTATTCAGCAGATGGTGATGGGCTAGTTGAATAGCTATTTGCAAGAAAATCAGTTTAAATCATTACTCACATCTCAAAGTAAATTCCAAAAGAATTAATGATTAAATACCTTTTAAAAATCATACCATTAAAAACTAACACTATTTGGAGTATTTAATATTTTTCTAATCTCTGCATGGAGAATGACTATCTTCCTGAGCTTTAAAAATAAACAAACCAAGAAAACAAGCATAAGGGAAAGAAAGGAGATTAGACAGATCAGGTGTGGACAATAGGAATAAATTGTTCTAAACTGTATAAGATTTAAAGGATCCTTATCTTTAACTACCATGTTGAAGGCAGCACTGCACAGTAGTTAAGGTCTGTGCTCTGGAATCGGGCATCTGAGTTCAAACAGACTCCACCACCTCATGTCTTTCACTT